GAGAACAAATAGTCATATTATATATTGTCCACCAGCATGACCAGAGAACAAGAAGATCATATTATATCATGATTTACATTTCAATTTCATTTCATTTCATAACAGTTAACACAGAATAAAGGTATACAAAAAGTTCATAAGTATAAAAAAGTGTTTTAATTGCAGTTGTTGTTCATCTTAAAGTGACTTAGTCATATTGATGTTGGCCTTCAATACTGAGCAAGACCTCTGTAACAGCCACAGAATGTTTGAACAAAAATATTATCTATACTTATATATTTGTCTATACTTAGAAATCAGAATTTTTTTCATTTCTTGTCTAAATTAAAATTGGTTATACAATTGTATACGTTTGGCAAAAAAAAATATAAATTTATTTAAATGATGGTATTATTTGTATCCAGGATTTTCTGAAACTGCAATAATTAATCTCGCATTTTTAATTGTCCTTACATTGTTCAATAATTAAAATTATCTTGGGAATAAATTTACTCAAAAAATTCTGAGTCTTTTTGAAGGATATATAGACTTGGAAACTTGTACATGTGATGGAATATTTTCACAGTTACTGTTTTAGAGATTCTTATATCTAGCATGTTTAGCAAAAGATGTTAGGTATACATGTATGGCAATGAGACAGCATCCCCAAAACAGACAGAAATTGCTTTGTTCTCAGTTTGAAATTGCACACATATTTTTGTATTACAGCAAGAATTTGATATAAAAAAGGATGATCTGGTATAATTGCCAATGAAGTTTTGATTTACAATTAAGTAATTTTTTTACTCTTGTGATTGGTTCAGGTAAACATGGTAAATATTAACCACTGATTGTACCCTTGTCAATGATATTTGTAGGCAGTAGTTTTATAAGCATTTACACATCATTTTAATTTCCATGCGGACTAGTTTGTCCTGTCTGCTATGTCATGATTAATTCACCTGACACTTCCTGAAACTTTTGGATTGTGTATATATGTATTAATTGTGATTGAGTTAGTCATTTCTGTGTATTTATATTATATATATGGTACATAGAATTTCTTTTATTCTGACAGAAAAGAAATACCATTCAGTTGCCTCCAATCTCAGCAAGTGATGGGAAATAAGTTTTCTGATTTTGACATGTTTGAGATGAACCTTAAAATATTATGGCACTTGATAATGAAAAAACAATTGATTAATTGTGGTGAATGTCATGTAAGCACTTTTGGCTATTTCTTGGCTGTCCATTTGTATTCGTGAACACTGGTAGGCAGGGAGTTAATATGAAATGAGCAGCAGAAAAAAATAGGTCACTATTTCCAACTTCATGGTATAAATGTAAACTATAAGGTTGAGAAATTGAGATGATATATATGACAAGGTTGTTGATTGAATCATAGGTACATGTACATGTATCAGAAACTAATTGGATGTGGGTTTTTTTCACAGATGCGATTAAAATTAGTCGTGTATATATATGCATCCGATATTTTTCGAACTGGTTATCGCTTTATGATATAGTGTAAGCATAAGTAATGAGAGCTCAAGGTACATGTTTTTGAAGTATGGGGTACTCAATGACGTAGCTTTTTTATAAAAAAAAGCAAGCCAATCAAAATACTGGCCTGGTAACTGGTGAAAATTCATATTCATTCATAGGCAAACAAATTACCCTACCCCACCAGAATAAAATTCAAAAAGACCTCCCAATCATGATTTACAAATTGATACCAGTCACACTTGAGATTCAGGAGATATTCAACTAGTAAAATGTGAATATTTATATGCAGGTAGGAGTTAATATTTATGATTTAAACACTGTCAATGACAAAGAGCAAACAAAAAAATCATGAATTTTGGTATAAAGTTCTGTATGAAAATGCAACTTTTTTCATTAAAATTTTAATGGTTCACAATATACAAGCTCTAGAAGAGACTTTATAATATACTATTAATTATATAATGAACTTGCATTTGCAAAAATGAGAACTGCACTATGACCCCAGATGCGGATTCCGGATTTTGACAAAAAAGGGGGGCTGCGTGTCCCAACACTAATCGAAGTTATGGACATATAAGTGTATACATTAACCATAAATTGGTTGGTACACAAGGGTTCAGAGCCCACATGAATCCGCCTCTGCAATTTCAGCCGTTTGCTGTGATATACACAAGAGATGGAATATGCAAGAAGATGTAAATATTCTATTTTATGAAAGTCCAGCCTGTCACAATGAAAATTCCCTGAAAAAAAACCCAATACTGAATAGGAAGCTTCAATAAATTAAGCAAGCAATAAGAGAATATTTGTTTATTCGCTCCAACATGACGTTATTATATGAAATGCTTCACGGTGAGTACAAAAAATACACCGAGTTTTTCCGTCAGCCGATCCGACTACTGCAGGGTCATTCAAACGTTTTTCTCTCGCATTTCAAGGCGATAATGCTACTTCATGCTAAATTAATTGAAAAGGGCAGGTGCAAGAGCTATACCAACCCACTTGATTCTGGTATTGGTAGAAAGGCCACATTTCAAATTTTTCAAAAAGTGCTGTGCCTAGTTATATAGCGTTCGTGTAAAAGAAATTTCACAACCCGAAGTGCCAAAAAGTCGATAAATCGAAAAAATTCTCCACGTTTTATTGTTTTTTATTTACAACACCTCTATTAAATACTAGGCACAGCACTTTTCCAGTAAAATAAGTTATCCTGATTACAGGGAGCCAAAAACCAGGGCGATCGGATTTCATCTTGCACCTGCCCTTTTGACTTTTTTAGGAAATGTCCTTACTTTCAGTTTGAAGTCACGTGACACTAGTGTATTTATATTTTTCTATAAATAAAAGTTTGGAATGTGATTCAGAATAGACCCTTTTCCCTCTGTTTACGCTTTTGACGTGCATTTTAACCTTTAAGCAAAGAAAACTAACTTTGAGTTCAATATGATTTTTTTTGTGTATAAAAATGGGATATTTCTAGAAACGCCCTTAACGTCCCTGCGCAAAAGCTGAAAAAGGTAGAAAGTTACCATTCATACATGGAATGCTTTAAAAAAACAACTATGTACTAAGGAGTTTTTTGAAACAACTGTAGTGTCTTGTGACATATATTAGATAAAATCTTGGAAGGTTTGGGAAAATTAAACTGGAAAAAAATGAATTGAATTATGAAGTTATAAGTATTAATCCTAAGCTATTGGTAAACAGGCTCTACTTAACTGCATGTCTTTGGTTTTTAAATATAAACGGCACTATTCTAGAAGATATCATCTGAACATCCATTCCAGTGCAAGCTAATACTAACATATAATCTATTTTAGCACAAAGATAGTACTTATATATTGACAGACTGTCAAAACAGTGAATCTTGATAGCGACTGCTTCTGATGACAGGGGGATTTTGTAGTCTTGGGAGAGAAACCGATATATAATGTTGATATGACAATTCGTCCCATGGGTACTCGTCCTATTCTGAATAATGCTGTTTTTCCTTATAAACTTGACTTGGCTAGAATTTTCGCCTTGTCAATAGTTTTAAACTATTCATTTACATTCAAGATACAAATATTACTCTGATATTTCAGATTTACTTAAAATATGATTCTTCTTTGCAATGTAACAGTCATGGTTATTCCTAATGAGAACATGTGTAAAAACATACAATAATAAATGCCTACTAGTGTTTTCGGTCGTTTTTTTATGGTACCCAAAAAACTGGTCATATTCAATTACTCTGAACATAAAATTAAATGGTGAATTCAACAATACTTTGGAAGATGATGCATGGACCCCTGCTTCTTCAATTATGTGAATATAAGAAAAATTAAGCAAGAGGACAATTTTGGGATTACCATGGCTACCCCCTTAAACGCCACAGGAGAACAAAATGTAAGCCAAACGAAAGAGAAAAATATTTACTGGATTTATACCAAACACTTAAAAGAACAAACCATTTTTTTTTCAGACAACAACTAACATTAACCACTTAATAATACGCTCCTCTGCTAGTGATTGAGCGTAAGATTTTAATTTTTAATCATTTTTGAGATCATTGAAAAAGTATCAAGCAACGATGAATCTTGTTTAAGTTTTAAGTTATTTTTCAGATATTTTCTCCTTGTAAATTCAGTACTGTTCAGATTTTTCGTTTAAATTAAATACAGCACTGGTCAGTAGTTTTTCAAACAATTTAATACTTTCATTGTTGAGTTCTACAGGTTAACAACAAATATTCAGCAGTCTGAAAAATAAATTGAAACTGATCTTAATGTACTGCATGCGAAGTATCTGAGCAGTACTGAAAATACAGCTGCGGATAAGTCTGAAAATTGAATGGAAGACTGAACATGAATTATAAATTAACTGTTCAGTCTTTTCAGATCAAAACAGCCGTTTCAATTCAAAATCGATTTTCTATAAAAATAAGAAGATGTGGTATGATTGCCAATGAGACAACTCTCCATAAGAGACCAAATGACTTAGAAATTAACAACTATAGGTCACCGTACGGCCTTCAACAATGAGCAAAACCCATACCGCATAGTCAGCTATAAAAGGCTTCGAAATAACAAATGTAAATCAATCAAAAAGGGAAAACGAACGGTCTGATTTATGTTTAAAATATGAACGAAAAACAAATAGGATATACAGCAACAAACGACAACCACTGAATTACAGGCTCCTAACTTGGGACAGGAACATGCAAAATGCGGCGGGGTTTAACTAGTTTGAACGCGTCAACCCTCCCATTACCTGGGACAGTTGTGTAACAGTACAACATAAGAACAAACTATTAAAAGCAGTTAAAAAAGGCTGAACTCATCAGATGGATACAAAGCAGAAATACATCTGACAAAAACACAGACCGGACGTGGTAGGGTATATATTAAACATTATATGTATATTTAGATATGAAAATCCCATACAATTGAGAAGAGGTTTTGCAATTATTGAAATTTGAATCGTTCATCTGTGTCCCGATTTCAAGGGGGATATTTCGATATGTAGCAGACTTTCTAGTTGGTAATAATCCTAAAAGTCAAGATCACTGTGCAATTTAAAAAGCACTTGCTAAAATGACGCATTCAAATTATAAGCCTCGTATCTTTTATGACTTTTTATTTCATTAATGACGATATCAATACTTGTTATTTAACTGTTTCGTCTAAAATGTTTAATGAAAAACAAGATTACGATTATCTAACATTTACACCTGTTATAACTTCTATTTAAATATTTTGTGAGAACGCTGATCGTTGTATTCGCTATGATGACTTATTCGACTAGATAGAAACTTCAACAGTTATAGTTCCAACACCATGGTAAGTAATGCATCCCCAGATCATCAAACTGAACTTGCGCTGAGACAGAGGACAATCACTCCTTACGACCTTTCTCCAGATACTGACACGGAAATTATACCCAATGACTACCTTGCATTCATCGCTGAAAATTACGTCACTCCATTGCGCATTACCAGTTTAATTTAAATTTCCTCTGCACCATGCCACTCGTTTTTTCTTGTTTACCCCTTGGATACGATTTTTTTCCCTTTACTGACCGTTTTTGTAACCCCTCAGATAGCAATTTACGCTCAACTATTATTCTTACGAAAGGTCAATCAATGCTACTATCTATAGTATTAGTAATTTTAGTTAAAGATTTACGACGATTTTGTTTTACATAACGGGAACATTTTTTCATGTCCCGATCATGAAAGAATTTTGGTCTGTCTGGGCTCCGAATATTTTCAATAGCACCCCGATGTTCATACCTCTTCTAACAACTGTATACGGTTTAATGCCTGTCCATTTGGCAATGCCACTTGTTATGTTACCTGTATCATCTAATGCAGCGAGACAACTTTTCTGATCAGATTTAATTTTTTTCCTTGCAACCCATTTTGTTTACATTATCCTCACTGTAAATGCAGACGACAATGACGTCAACACGCACGTGTCACAAGACAAGCATATTTTGTTCTACAGAACTACCTATATACAGGTTCATTGTCATTGCGATTGTACCATGGAGACGACGGTTAAACTTGTTTACCTAACCGTGACGTGACCACCATTGTTAGTTTACGAATATTTATGGCGGAGTACTGTAGCTAAAATGTCCTAGTGATGATGACACTGCTGAAGTCGATATCAAAATATCAGACTTTATACAAAACACATAAGAACAACAATCTTTTTCCCATCCCGTACAGATTTGATATGTTTTAGATAAAAACAACGGCATCATCTATTTCAACTTATATACTATCTTTTAAGATTTAGACTCACTATTCCTTAATTTATTCAATATGATTTTGTTTCTTAATACCAATATCACAATATTATACATAAAGACCTAAAGAAAGTATACAAACTTTGTTTCGAAACCAAGCATTCTACAGATGACTCGAGCATCATTCACAGTAAATCCATCATCACACATTGTGCCCCACTGCCCCTGATGATATACCTCGACTCTTCCTTCGTTTGGAACAGTACCACCTTCTAGGCGTACTCCAATCCCTGTAATAGGACCGCATGCAGTAATTTTTTAAAACTATCAAAGTTTTCCAAATCTTATTATTGTTGTATAAATTTATAAAATCATTTAACAAAAAATAAAAAAAAAAACAAGAAGAAAAGAAGTGTTGGAATAGCTGCTCCTTAAAATGTGTGTATTATCTCACTAATCTTACAGAAGTTATAAAGTGAGTCCTTGCTTTTTACAATGTTAAATCAAGCAATTATAAATCAAATTTTTACCGCGACCGATTGGGCAAAAATCAAGATAGTTAAATGTTACACTCCCAATGAAACAGGTTTTAAATTCATTCTATACTTGTGTCAACACAAAACAATACCATCCTTTCCGCCCCATGTTATTGATCCTAATGTCAAGTTAAAAGTATCGTTCTTGCTGTGCTCATCTTTATAGTCTAGTCGGCTATAAAAGGCCCTGACATGAAAAGTATGAAACAATTCAAATGATAAGTTCTTTTCTGAAATTTCTTACCGCAACCAACGTTAACATATTTTGAAGACTGGCAGCCACCCTTGCCCCATCCAGGAAAAGAACAAGAGGCTATATCATCTTCAGTACCATAACAATTAAGTTTGCTCATCCAGGCACTACCAGAACCGCCCGTATAATTTCTTGTCCATATACGAGGATTTCTAAAAAATAAGTACAGAAGTATCATTGAACTTGATATAGTGTCAGATTATTTGAAAGCACATAAGACTTTATATAAGTTGATAATGATGAAATAATATTTTCATAAAATGTTCAGAAATAATAATGATAACGAACCAGCACTTTGTGTCGTTTTTTATCTTGACAATACACGAATTACAAATTATCGACTTTTGTCTCCGGAGTATATAATTTTTTGACAGGTTACCTACGCTGTGGTTGGACATTATGGTACTCAATCAATCAAATGAAACTAAATGGGGTAAAATCAAGCTTACAATCGGTACAGTTTTAGGGGAAATTAACTATTGAAGTTTTCTATACTCGACAAAATCATCGGGAAACAGTCAATCCACCCACTTGCACCGATTGTTAGGATGATTTTATATATTTTAGTTGCTTTTACTTGACCTAGTAACCAAATTATCCTACCACTACGGAAGAGTACTATGTTTTAATTGCGATGATGACATCTGTTCTGAAGCTCATAACATTAAAACTCTTTGATAAGTCACAAGATTTAGCACTTTTAAATTGTATTTCATATTTAAAATTAGATACAATTTATATTTTGCCTGTATTATTTGCCATATTTGCCTTTTTTTGTAGATATCTTATATATGAAATATAACTCATTTTCATTCTGCAAGATTATTTACATTCTGAATAACATTGTTATTGTATTTATGTAAAAGAAACGAATCATATGTAATTAGAAAGTTCTAATAATCGGATGATGGAACTCACGTTGTGTTATATCCTAGCATAGAACACACTACACTACCATCTGCCTGATCAAAATCATCACTGCACACGGTTCCCCATATTTGATTGTGATTTACTTCTAATCTACCTTCTGATGGATTATCACCACCAAAAAGTCTTATCCGCGTTTCTAAAATATACATTTCTAGTTTGGTATGTGGTATGCATTCAATTCTAGTAATGAAAGCGAGTTTAGTTTACATACAATAAAAATAAAGTGTGATCTCATATACCTTAAAGAATGTGCAAAATATAAAATAGTCTTTTTCATCCTTGTTGTGTTCATGCGATTCCCTCAGATTTTGTAAGATACTTCAGGAATGACTGTAATATTTTTTTTTCTGTCTATGAAGAAATAACATCTTGAGGTTATTTCGAAAAGACAGAAAAAGAATTACAGTCAGTCCTTATAATTTAATTCTAAATTCCAATTTTGAAAAAAAGTTGATGACATCACGGTCACATGACGAAATTATGTTTATGAACTGATGGACAGAAAACTTTTTGCCAATCAGAAGAGGTGTTACATCCAAAATTAACTTATTTTTATATGTCTCTCTTGATCGGTTTTGAGCGTCGGTAAACTACTTTTGCCTTAATCTATTGTGAAGGCAGGACTGACCGACAGACGATCGGTTCTCTTACAGGAACCAACTCTTCAAGCCTACATTGTAGCTGACGTATTCTTTTGCTAGTATAATAGAGATTGCACCAGCAAAAATTCTATTTAATAATGAAAAGAAGCAAGAAATATTCTTCAATTTCATAGTTCGGTATGATGATATCCTGCGAAGTTGATAACTCTGTTGATTTTATATATCGAATCTAAATAAGAATAATGAATACCACAAAACCGTAACTTTTTATACCTGTATTAGGAAATAGAAAGTGATGCTCGATTGAGAGCCTAGCTTAAAGTTGAGATGATTTTAATTTTCTTATCTTTCATTTTCAATCTAAGTTCATAAAATATTCCAGATCTTACGTTTCCTATAAGAATATCTATTACAGATGCTTCTGCTGAATATAAAGCTTCTTAACCAAAGGTTCCTAATATTTAAGTTGAAGTCATCCCATTGAAAATTTTACGGATGCCATCATTACGGGAAAAGGTTATCTTATGACCACGTGTATGTTCTTTCGTTTATATAAACATCCCCTTTATAATTTTGTTCTCGTTAAGATTTTTACTAGATGCAACATGTCAACAGATTGTTACTTGTTGTTGGAATCATGATGGTTTTTACAAGTGGAGCATGAACTGATTATCCTTCGAAAAACCTTCGTGAGCTTTTTGTTGGGTTCGTGTTGCTCAATCTTAAGTTTTTCTTTTCGTCATTTGTCTTTTGACCAGAGTGCTTTTGTACATCTTTCACTAATGTTTCCCTTATCATCCTTGCTGTCTTCATATATTTTCAATCAATGTGTTAACAAATTATTGACATTTGAGTGATTAGTCATAGCAATATAATAGAGGTTGAAATATTGACACTAAAAAACTCGTCATAACACGCATTTCTGTATTAGTAAATTCCGTATCAAGAAAGGGAAACAGGTTTTACATACGACAGAAAACACCAGCATCACCGCCACTTTTACAGTTACCATTATACCAGCCTGATGATGAACAGTTAGTAATATCATTTTCATTTCCAGTACAATTCAGGTCAGTCAAATGCATCGAGCGATTTTTGTTTCCAAAGCATGAATCGCAAATTTCTGGAAAACTTTAAAAGAGATACAACTGTAATAGAACACATGTACCGGTTATATTATAAATAATAGGCAAGATATATGTGTTAGTTTTGCAACAACTGTCTCAATTAGCGGATATATTCAAGACAAGATAACAAAATGAAGTAGTTAATTCTATGTGGTGAGATGAATTCAATATTATTTGTATAATGTTTTTTTTTATATAAATGAAAATGTGCTATTAGAAAGTAGTAACATGAGTGAACTTCAACTGGAGGCTATAAAGAGCGTAAAAGGACGTGAACATAAAAAACAATAACTCCAATGACGAGTCAACTTACGCTTGCAGCCATAAGACGTATTTGTATATCTTTTCTTGCTGATTATGTTTGTTATTCTAAGTGTCAATTTCTCTATTTTAGTTTTTGAGATCATAGGCAAAACACAAACAATTTGTACAAATCGTCATTCAAGGGCAAGAACTCCAAAAAGAAGTTGACTTACAATTCAACTATTAGACTTATTTGTAAACCTAATATTGCTGATCATGTTTGATATTTGATGTTTGAAGTTTTTTTTTTTTTATCTATCATAGTTTTGAAGATTAGCAAAATCCCTAGTTAAAATCGCCATCATAGGGCAATAACTCCCATTACGAGTCAACTGACGATGTTGGCATTTACAATTGAATGTAGATCTGGTCTTGCTGATCCTTTTTCAATTTAAAGTTTCTATCTATCTATTCTATTTCTAAAGTTAGTAAGCAAAAATTCAAAAGATAGTAAAAACTGTCATTTAAGGGCAAAGACTGCGATATGAAGTCGTCTGATAGTTTGATGTAAATGGACAGTAGGTAAATCTCAACATTCTGAACATGTTTCACCCTTTCAGATTTGTTCTATTCATAACGGTTTATCTTTACAGACACAACGTCCATTTTACCCCTATGTTTTATTTATAGCAATGTTGTCCATCTTGGTTGACATGTGCGATCATCGGACGCATGTTTTAAACAGGATACCGCGATGCTTATTGTGACCAAGTTTGGTTAAATTTGGCCTAGTAGTTTCAGAAGAGAAGATTTGTGAAAAGAGTTTTAACAGAAAGACGGACAACAGACGCCAAACTATAAGAAAAGTTCAAATGTCCCTTTCGGGCCAGGTGAGCTTAAATGTAATGATTTATAATGGAATCGAGCATCAGTGAAGAGACAATATTTGTCAAAATTTGCAATCTGGTGGTGTAAAATGTGTCTTGTACAATATTATTCTATTCACATAGATTTCTACTGCACACAAAAATGACTTAAAGGAAATACTATGTTGGTTCGACGGAATTGTGCTCTCATGATATATTCATCTTGTTTTTTTAGGCTAACAATTCGAAAAACCAAAATGCAAGGTAAAAATTCTGTTGCATGTTGGTACCTTTTTTTCCGTTACATAGAGCGATTTTTTGTTTTGTAGTGATAATTGATCATTTTAAGACAATGCTGATATCTCTCTTCATCATTAAGTACGAGCGTAAGGGGAGTTCTTATTATATCATGCTCTTACAAACTTAGAATACAAGTATGATAAAGTGCCAAAGGCTCAAATGACTTCAGAGATGGATTTTAAATTAAACAAAAGAAACTGTTTAATGGTCAGTGCGATGTTTAGAACTAATGATTGATTGATTGTTGGTTGCTTAACGTCAAGTGGCAAATATTTCATGCATATTCAGGACGAGAAAATATTAACAATAAATACAATAGGTAGGTTCTGTAAGAGGGGCGTCTGGGATTAAGGTCGGAGAAATTTAGACTGCCACGGGAAATGAGGGTATATTGGATATGGACAGAAATTAAGCCTTGCAACAGATCACCTACGGACCCCTCAAAGAGTTGTTGCAAGGGTTCTTAACGTGCAAAGAGCGTGGCATTCTCTTTACACGAGGCATCGGATTTAACGTCCCCATTCTGACCGGACGTGGCTGTTAATTTGTACATCCCGCACAGCCAAACGGACGCCCCACTTTAGCAAGGGTTTTACTGCCGGTCGGAGGAAGACCAATGGTGACCATACTTCTATTCCCCAGTCACCCTTGGGGGCCAGAACTAATGAATGGCGTCCCTTCTATGTATTTCATTTATGAATCAGTGGGTTCTTATTACAGTGCACCAGTTAAATTCAACTTTTTTTATTTTTATTCTTTTGGTTTTGTTTCATATTCAAATTTTAATCAGTTAAAATCATATGAAATCCTATCAAGCTGATAAATGTGCTTCCTGACTGTTGTAACTCATTTATAGAAATTCTTAAGATCATCGACAGATGATCACAGATGGCGAAAAAATTTGAATAAATGATGAAGGTCAGATGCTGATGAGCTGTATATATTTTGTGTCATTGTTTACTCAAAAGTATGTTGAATCAATGCTAAAAGAAGAACTGGTTTTAAGTATAATCTCTAGCGTTCACTTGTTCTTCTTGTAACACTCATAAACACCATATCGGTCATACAAACAAATTGAACTTGACTTTTTACTCTTTCAATGCTCAGCAGTATTTAGTATGAACGTGTTTTACACATAACATGCTATGGTTTACGTATCAAATATCTTTTCTCCAAGATATTTTTAAAGTGTTTAGCAGACTATTATACCTTACATTCCTCTTTTGTGACAAAACCAAAATGCAACTTATCGTGACCAACTCAGCGGGGTGTAAAGTAGTGCAGTTATTACATATCCTTATAGAGAACCTAATTTAATCTCAAAAGTGTTTGTTTAATCTTGTAGGCTTTCTTTTGTGTTTTCTAGAATGGTGTCTGATTTTACTTGTTGGCGTGGTAATGGAATTGTCTGTATTTTCATGGCTTAATGTTTTCTGATTATTTGGAATGTAATATAAGGTATGGGAAAAATAAATTGTGAAACAGATTTGAAAAAAAAGACCTTACAGAAAAACAAGAATGCTGCAGACAGATGTTAAATCCCTATTTGTCAGCAGCTTACAATTATATTTTAAATGATTTATGTTAAAATAACTTACGGATTATTATAGCCAAGCATAGAACAAAATACCCTAGCATCAACCATGTCAAAGTTTGATGAACAAACAGTGCCAAAGGTATTGCTGTGCTTGATTTCCACACGGCCTTCGTGGGGAGAATTTCCATTTGACAGTTGAACATTAGTCCCTTTAAAAAAGGCAAAGTATCCCTACATTATATATTGGTTTTATGTTTACATTTGTTTTTTTGTTTTGTTCTTTGTAGAGATATAACGACAGAACATGTAACAAAGAAAGACGAATTAACCAGCTACTGTTCAACAACACGATTATTCATATTGCAAACAAGGAATTATTAAAAAGGTCTCATATCTTAAGAATATAAATTCGCAAAAATAATACCATGTCCTAGAACGGAATAATTGAATGATATTCTCGTTCTTATGACCTTATAAATCGCAAATATTAAAATAATGTTTGCATATTAACGGAACCTTATAAAAAAGGAAGGATTCGTCCAAAATTGCTGTTGTCAGTGTAACATGTGTAAAAGTGTAATGTTGACTATTCAAACGAAATCAATTTATCAGTATTGTATGGGTAAAATAAAAAATAAACCCACTTTTTCGTCAGACGCTTTTTCTTGATCTTGAAGAAGCTTTTGTCAAAGCTTCATAATATTTCATGAAGGTTGAATAAAGTTATTGATGTCTTACAGATTTAATCCCAAACTGTATGTAAATGTTAACTGCAAAAAAAGTAAGTTTATCTGTTTGTTAAATTCTTTATATTATATTAATATAACTACAAATATTTTCAATTATGCCTCAGGGAGTTGCCACCTTTATTTTAGTACAATTACATAAACGAAATGGAATTGTACAATAGCATTTATTTCAAACCATTAACAAAGTCCTATCTCACTAGAGGAGTGAACCCTCGGCACTGATAGTTGTATACAGATTATTTTCGGGACGACACTTTTTCTTGAATGTGTATACTTTTTTTTTTTGTTTAAGTGAAAAAAATCATCCAGTTTTTTGCTTACTACATATTAGTCCAACATCTTTCCCATGTCCACAGTTATATTGTTTTCCATTAATGAATGCACAATCACTCAAGCTGTGCTCTGTTCCAGTACAGCCTAGACGTGCCATCATTACACTACCAATACCTTGGTCATACTTGTTTGTAATTTCCGGTTGACTTTAATAAAGTATACATTTAAATTAAGAGATCTTGAATTGCAGACATATATCTCTACCATATTTGAAACTCTACATCATCTCGTTTTTAGACAAGTTGTGGACACATATTTGAAATGAATAATCTGCAGAAAACCACCGTAACGTACAAAGAAGAGCCATACGATTAAGATCAGTTTAATAGATGAATATATCTTATCGGATTTTGAGACGACATACACCTAGTAGAAGTTCAGCGACAGAATGTCATATAATAAAACCCCACCCCACATTAAGCACATAAAGCATTGTTAAAGTCTATAAAATTTCCTACAAAACTATTCGGATCTAAAAACAAAATAAAAGTTGCACAATGACATTATATAGTCACAATTCTTAGAATTTTTTAATAAGTTCTTATAAAAAAATTTAACAGAGTTGTGAATACAAATGCAATCACCGAAAGAGGAATGGCACAAACAATGATTTGCTAAGGGAAACCCCAAAATAATTCGGAACATTATGCAAATTAGAAGGTTAAAGTGGCAATTTACGGTGGTGATAATAAGACTTTCATTAAATTCTAATAAGGAGTTAAGAAAGAAAAAGCGTATACAAAAGTGTCCATGACATGCCAAAATAAATCCAGAAAACTCATTCCGATGAAGAAATGAAATAGAAGGTACATTATGTAAGCAAGATTATAAGGATGTTTCACAAAATCATAAAACCAAAAACTTGCTCTGCTTTTTACAAAATGTACATAATTTGTTGATTTTTTTTTAGATAGGTTTATAATTTCACAAAGTCTTTTAAAATTATGTATTTATCATGTTTGATAAAGTTTATTCGTCCTCTAGAATGTTAGACGAAAACATGTAAAATGGCTAACAATAAGGATACCAGCATTCAGTTACCAATGTAAATAACGTATGAATAATCATTGTTAAGATTATAAAGTGGTGCCTCAGTGTGTTTTTGACACCTTTAAATCATGAGCACGTATCTTGGAAGATAGTTTTTAACCGCTGGACCTATGTGGAGGTTTTTTCCACGAACCTTTCACCTGCCCAGTAGTCAGAAATATCATATGATATATCTTTTTTTTTTTGTAAATTCACTCTTTATAAAATGTTGAAATTTTTATAACACGAAAATGCGGAAGTAAACAAACTGTTGCTATGGAGAAAAATTATTCATTCGCAACTAATGCTTATCATTACTTACCTAACAAACAGTCTATGAAAATGGACCATTGTATGGTAGACTTACCAAATAATGCATATGGAGTACCACTTATCCATATCGCGCGCTGTTTTATAAGATACGAGGAATATCATGTCTAGCGGATACTACGTATAGGCCAGAACAATAACAAAAATATAATGATATTATTATACACTTACGCAATATCATATCCCAAGGATTTACAGATAACACGTGCGTCATTTATATCAAATCCATCACTACATACAGTTCCCCATTGCTCCTCGAAACGAACTTCAAGCCTTCCTTCACTAGCTGTGTTACCTCCGACGAGGCGAACTGGAATTCCTGAAATAACAGAGAAAATAATTATTTGCAGGAATGCTGTCAATTTTAAATGGAATATGCAGACAAGAATGTGAAGGATTTTGAAAATAGGAAAACCCCCGTGTCGACATTAAAAAGTTTTACAGAAGGAATGTGTTGACTGTTTTAACTTTGTTTTAAATTTAGTTCAATAACTCTTTTATATATTGCTTATACATGAATGCATTTGCAAGGATTACAAAAGATAAAAAAATGTATTTTTTTAAGAAGGCTTTTTGCTGTCAATTTACCTGATCTTATTTTCGTTTGTTTATACAAGTACATCTTCTTACTACTTATAGATTTAGTTGGTTTATTGATTTCCTGATAGTTTTTAATTTGCTTAAAACCCAATGGCAAATACATAATGCATATGCTAGAACAGAATTTTAAACGGAGGGGGGCTGCAAAAATGGTTGACCGATATGAAGGGTGACAGTTTCAGGTGAAACTTGAAAATGAGTTTGATGGAAAGAAGTAGGCAATTTATACCCCTCAAAGAAAATTTGCAAAGGTTCATAAACGTGCGAGTGAGTTTGGCGCATTCCATTCATAAAACATCAGGTTTAGCGTCTCAATGCAGAACATATTTAGCTGCATACATCTAGCAATCATACGAACACTGCTGTCTAGTATTGATTTTCCAGTACTGCAGGACGACAGAACACCAGTTATGGTCATATTTTGTTACCATAGTCGAACATTAATGGTGAACGTATGTATGATCATAAAAATGATACACTTCAGGAAATATAGGATATGTCACATATCAATCTTTTATTTTAATATTACTATCAATTAAACAGACTATTAAGAAATATATTCTGATCTGTTGTCATATTTTTTTAGTATCTTAGTTTGAAGGATTTTATTTGGGGAATGTGATTATATCGATTTAGTTGAAAAAGAAGTGACTACTTTTAGCAAATTCTTTACTTAGTGGGAGTTTTGACGACATATTCATGATGATCTTTTTTATATATATGATTAAACAAGCGCGTCATATAATCTTAAATTTTTACAATACAAAATAACCATTACCATTTACTTAAATTAAACAGTGTTTAACAATCGTTTCATCTTATTTGACATCACCGAATAAGATATCACCAAATTTGTACATTGAGAAACATAATTCTTGCACATGGGGATATGATCTTCTTATCTTTCCGGAACACATGAGATCAACCCCGTTTTTTGTAGGTTTCATCTTGCTCAGTCTTTACTTTTGTATATTGTGTTTTGTTGACTGTTTTTTTTTTCTTTTCGTCGTTTTTGTTTTGTTTTTTGCCATGGCGTTGTCATCTTGCCGTCAACTTATGAGTTAAGATATTCCTTTGGTATCTTTCACCTCTCTTTTAAAAACTCATAATTTTCAAATTCAGAGATTAAATGAAAAAAATGACAGGCAAGTCTAAACAGATCCATTTTTATATCATTTTTAAAGGTTTCAAGCGTCTATTCATTCATTCTATTGCTCCAGAAAGTTTCGGTCGCTTTGTCTAATCGACTATTCCCAATGAGTCTCAGTGTGTAAACCTGGTGGTCGTATACGGAAAACGTTCACTGACCGTAGAGATCGTGATAGCTAATATACACTGACGGCATGTTGTGTTATTACCTATGTACCCTGGTCAGTCTAGAATATCTCTATATATATACATAAATATAGGTGTTAGCTCTGTATAACTACGGGTTATCCGATGGAGAATGTCTCTCATAAAGTTGTCACATGTTTAGACGTGCATATATGTATGATAATAAAAATAAATTCATAATTTGATGTGACGACACGGTAATTACATTATTATCCTTTACGACGGACACATCATCCTAATTGCTAATATACATAATGTACTGTGTTACAGCCCTAGATAAAGCCGACGAGGAAAGGCATTATTCGGCTAAAGATGCTATATTTTTATAACGCCTAGTTGGTCGAGTGGTCTCGGGCGCTGGACACAGTGAAGGCCGAGTTGCCACGATGTCACAGAAGCAAGGGTTCAAATTCCTCTTAGGTAAGAAAAAGAAATTGCGTTCAGATCTAACATTGTTTGGCTAAATTTGAGACGAGTTATATATATATATTATGATGATAGCCCTGTTTAACTACGGGTTATCCGATGGAGGATGTCTGTCATAAAGTTGTCACATATTTAGACGTACATATATATTTAAAAATGTATACGTACATATATATTTAAAAATGTATACGTACATATATACAAACATACATATATACATACATATTAGTAATCTATGGTTTTCAAATGGAGGAAGTCTCTCTTGAAGTTGTCACACACATATATATATATATGTATACCCGTCACTATACCTTTCATATTTTATATGTGGCTATTTTCAATGTTCATTTTCGTTAATAAGATTTCAAGACAAACATTTCGAGAGAAAAAAAGAATACGCACTACAATCAACACCAACGTCATGGTAATGAGTGCAGTTAGTATTGTTCCATCCTCCAAAATTGCAATAGGAAATATCAGTCTCTGTCCCAACACATGACAGTTTGTCCATGAGAATGTTTGTAGATCCTTGTCCAAAATGTGCACCAGGTAACACTTTTGCATATCTAAAATTAATAATCATAAATTAGAATACTTTACTTTACAGAATAATATTTGCACGCTGTATTTGCGCATCTCCGCTCAATTCTTTACCACAGTTATTTACAATTCTTTCAAGCAATCATCTTGAAAAGGATGAAGTGACTCGCAAACTTAAATACAATAGCCATTATTCTTTTTCCTGTCGAATAGTAATTGTTTGCGGAAATGAAGGACAATTATTTTAAAAATAAATTGAATGAGAATTACAGATTTTATTATTATCCTTATTGTATAGGCCTCAAATAATTTCGCACACATATATCGAATTGATTATACAGCGGGAGATATGTGTTTATTGAAGTAATACATATTTCAATATTTCCTCCATACCATTTTTCTTGTTAAGTGATGAAAAAACATAATCAATTTCCACCAAAATGACATTTCCGCTAAATTCGTACTTTTCGGAATTACATTCTAGAAGGAGCTTTATTCCTGAAAACGACATTCATGGGTAAACAGGAACCTGTAGTTCAGTTGTTGTCGTTGGTTCATGTCTGTCATATTTGTTTTTCGTAATTTGTTTGTTATCAATTAGGCCGTTAGTTTTTTCAATTGAATTGTTTCATATCTTTCATGTCGGGGCTTTTTATACCCGACTATATGGTATGGCTTTTTCTCATAGTTGAAGGCCGTACGGTTGCCTATAATTGTTTACATCCACTTCATTTGAACTTGGGTTGATAGTTGTCTCATTGGCAATCATACCACATCTCCTTATTTTCATATAACACTGTTTGACTGACAAGGGTTGGATCATGTTATGTTTTCTAGTAACAAATTTTGCGTTATGTGAGTAAAAATACCCAAATGTATGCAAGGTTTTTTTTCTATAATGTGGAAAATCCAAAATTTCAAATGTTTTATTGTGAAGTCTTAAAATAGCTTATTTACCTGCAACTTCACAGAAATCTTTTCATAAAAGTGCCATGACCTCACATTTAATATCGATACTTAATTAGTGATATTATGGCACGTATGCATAAAATATATTAAATTGAGTATTCCATAAACTAAGATTTCACTTAGAACTACTTTAGATTAAATTGTGGCATATACAGTCGTATGCATATATTTACTTTAATTTGCACTTGATTGATGTAATCTTTGGAAGAATGTATTGAAAGCTTTTCTCGTTACCGTTTTAAGAATACGGGCCCTGTATATTATGTACGGATTTATTTTTATAACTATGTAAGCGGGAAAATAGATTTTTGCAAAATGTTTTCTGCTTACGAATCATCAAAGCCAAGCATGCGACAAACTACTGTGCCCTCTTTTGTATCAAAGGAGTCATCACAAATAGTTCCCCATTGTCCGTTATGGTGAATTTCTACTCTTCCCTGTGCTTCGCTTATTCCACCAACGAGTCGTATCTTAGCACCTTTTCAAGAATATAAGCACATGAAGTATATAATATAACATGTATAATGAAATATAAAAAGTCAATGATAAGCCTTGTTGACATTATTGACAATAATGTCCTATATTGTCTATGTGCATCTTTTGTGTTAGTTCAGCATTCGTTTTCATACCATTTTAATGACCATTTATCTTTTATGCATGCAGTAATCTAAGTTCTTAAACAATATTTTGTTTAGTTGGGTCGCTTTCTAATTGACATTTACTCAATTTTTCTATTAGAAAAGATAAACGGGAGATACCAAATTGATATTCACACTCATTAGTCGAAAACAAACTGACAATAATATGATCAAAAAGATAAACGAAAAACGACCACAAGACAAACAACAGTCCATAAAACAAAACATATAAAACAAACGACTGAGCAACGCGAACCCCCCAAAAATCCAAATTCCGGGGATGATCTTATGTGCTCCAGATGGGTAAACCGATCTTGCTCCAACTTGTGATGGCATCTGTGAAATGTTCAAATGTTAAAAAAAAATCGGAAATAAAAGTTCTGGAATATCGTATCAACTGGATCATATATAAATCATATGCAGGCGCTGCTGGAATGTTGATTTTTATCATGAACGTTTTTTTAAATTAAGGCTTATAATTGTGAACCTAGAGAAAATGTCCTTTACATGCTTGAAGTGTTACTATATTACTTGCTTTGATGAGTGATTTACCTTAAAGGTAGATCACTCACCAAAGCCAATATGTTTTATATAAAGCTCCTTTGTTGTTTTAACATCGTCGAAATTTAACACTCAAGACTGTTTGAAAATAAAATCATGATACTTCATATGTGCCAGTTTTTGTTTGCAAACTTGCATTGTCGATTTAACTGTCTTCGTCAGACTTTGAATAGACATGATGAAATATACAGAGCTTTTCTACAAAAATGAGAATCGTGGATACAAATTTCGTGTTTTATATCATGGACAATCTTTGTTTACATTAACATAAACTCATCAAAGATATAAGGATTTAAAAGTTTGTAAGCCAAACGCGCGTTTTGTCTACAAAAGACTCAATAGTGAAGATCGAATTAAAAAAGTGAAAGGGCTAAATAGGATACGAAATTGCAGAGCATTGAAGACCTTGATTTTTCTTCTTTAACGATTTATGATATTTGAATTTAGGTAAAAGCTAGTGTTTCCAAAATTTATACCCGAGTTTACTTAACATTATACAATACTAGAACGCACCCGCGAAATCGCGGGCATTTTAGGGTGCGGTTGAAAGTATGTAAACTGTTGTAGGATGAACATTTGTAAAAGATTTTATGACTGGAGAATTTCAGGAAAGTTATCAAAAGTCAAAGGTACTTGAAGACAGGACAATTTTTTTAGTCCTCCCCTTTTTCCAAAGTCCGTTGTTTTTTGTTTTCTGTTTATTTCAGTTATTTTCGCGTTTTTCTGTACACTATGAACATACTGATACTATAAATAAAGCGTAATTGCTATTTACTATCAATTCCAAGTTTACTATCCACAGTGGTCACTGATATATTATATTCAGACTCTCTATATAATATATCAGTATCTGCCGTGGATAGTAAACTTGGAATTGATAGTAAATAGCAAACACACTTTATTTATAGTATACGTATGCAAGATCATATAAGTATAGTGTACATATACATGTATGATCATAGTATACATAAAAAAACGCGAAATAACTGTCCTGTCCCCAAGTAGTTATGAAAATTATGTGTAATTTTAAAACAATCCTACATGTAAACGGAAGTTTTGTCGTTGACTTAAAATTTCATCCAATGACGGAAACAATATCCGAGCGCCTTTATTTTCGTTTTTCTCCCCAAATAACCCAAACTGAATAATCATAAGCAAGGATGACAAATGCGACTATGCATGATACCTATAGGACATAATTTTAAAACAATCCTACATGTAAACGGAAGTTTTGTCTATGACTTAAAAGTTCATCCGATGACAGAAACAATATCCGAGCGCCTTTATTTTCGTTTTTCTCCCCAAATAACCCAAACTGAATAATCATAAGCAAGGATGACAAATGCGACTATGCATGATACCTATAGGACATAATTTTAAAACAATCCTACATGTAAACGGAAGTTTTGTCTATGACTTAAAAGTTCATCCGATGACGGAAACAATATCCGAGCGCCTTTATTTTCGTTTTTCTCCCAAAATAACCCAAACTGAATAATCATAAGCAAGGATGACAAATGCGACTTTGCATGATACCTATAGGACACAGAGGCATGATGATTAATTTATTGTGGAAGGAAGAGAAGCGACACACAAAATGAGGTCTCCTCATTTAATTATACAATATCGTGTGATGATTTATATGTAGTTTAGTATAATTTTACAAATGTTGGCACGTGCTTATATTACCAACAGTTTATTGAAGTTAACATCCCGAAAAAATAATAATAACAGCGATAAAAACACAAAATAATAATAACAACAATTTAAATAAAATAATATTAAGTAATAATTTAATAATACTAGTATCTGGTATATTCTGTCATAATTCTGAAATCATTTCTTGCAATAAATTCATGAGAATTCATAACTTGAGTTAATATTCAGTATATGAAAAAGAGCAAAGTAAATATGTTATTTGGAGATGTCTTAGGGTTAGATAAGAGTCAATTACCAATTCACTATTTTGTAATGCCTTATCACTTGATACTTATCTCCGTATTTTATAGGAGTAACACAACGGTTGTCGCATGTGGAGCAGGATCTGTTTACCCTTTGGGGTTCGTGTTGCTCAGTCTTTGGTTTTTCTATGTTGTGTTGTGTGTACTGTTGTTTGTCTGTTTGTCTTTTTCGTCTTTAGCCATTGAGTTGTCAGTTTATTTTCGACTTATGAGTTCGAGTGTCCCTTTGGTATCTTTCTTCTTTCTTTTATTTGAAAAAGAAATCAAGTTTGTTTGTGAAATAATTAGATTTTACTAAAACGGCTCGTCATATTAATTTAAAAAAACGTAAAAAACAATCTCAAGACAAACAACAGTATACAAAACACAACATAGAAAACGAAGGACTGAGCAACACGAACCCCACCTAACACCTATGGTTATCACAGGTGCTTCGGAAGGGAAAGCAGATCCTGCTCCACATGTGCAACCGGTCGCCAGTCGTGATGCTCATGTCGGTAAAAATCCAGTAATATGACTTTTTAGACTGGTTCAGATGAGTACAAGACAGAACAGTTGAATATGGTTAATATTATTACTTTGGTGAGATTGTAAATCTAAACTTCCGCACGATTGTTCTAGGTGAGGGAGATTGATGTTTCGTCCAAGTGGCGTCAGCGGAGGGTCAGGCAGTTTCCGTATGAAGATTTTTTCATTTACTATGTACATTTGGTAATCTACCTGTACTACTGCTTTATGACATGGGATGTTGAGATGTAGAAAAGGCTGATAAAATTGTCAATATTTTAATTTTGCCTTAATACTTTTCTTTCATAAAATGGGATATTTTTATGTCAATACATATGTAAACTAAAGTTTTGCTTCAATATGATTTATTTATGAATGGACTCATGACGGGCGACAATAAGCAATGCACATTTTTTACCAGACCTTAAAAGAAGCTACATAGATATACAACTAAAAGAAGCCTTATATTTACTTAAACTGTTATCGAACTAACATTAAGAGGAATATTAAAAGAAAACCTCACCACATGATACACCAACATCTTTTGAATGTGCGCACTGACTGTTTCGCCATCCGTTAAACGGGCAGTCACCAATATCATTTTCATTACCAGTACACCTTACATTACTCATCATAACATGACCCGTGCCTTGGTCATATATAGCTCCACCAAATGCTTCTGCAAACCTATCGAAAATTTTATAAAAGTTATATCTCCTAATTTTGTTTCCCCTTGAGCAAAGGTATACAAATTATAATTATCTACCTTTGTTTTTATTACTAATCCACATTGTAAACTTAAAGTTAGTTTGAACCAATTAGTCCAAAATAACAATTAAGAGATCAATTATGATTAACAATAAGACAACTATCCATAAAGACCAACAAAAAGATATTTCAGCAATAATGAGCAAAAGCCATAATGTTTAGTAAGCTGTAAGGCTGTGTCATGTCGAAATGTTAAACATTTCAAAAGACAAAATCAAGCCCATTCTACAACAATAAACGAAAAACACAATTATGACAGACAGCAACCAACAAATATCACTGTATTACAGGCTTCTTGTTTGACACATGCACATAAAGAATGTAATGAGATTAAATATACTTGTGTAACAACACAATATAAGAAAAAACTTTATAAACTAATTCGAAAGGGTTGCACTTTTCAGATCGGTACGAGACAAAGAAAAAGAAAAAAGAAAAACGCAAAAGAACTCGCAGTTAGAGGGCTGTATTTTGTAACTTATAGGTTGCAATTCTGTAAATACTGACAATGCAATTTCCCATAGGAACTCCCTTTGCGGCTAAAATTGTGACACTTTTACTATGAAGTTTCGTGAAAAATAATATCCCAGAACGGAAAGTTTATATGCACTACTATTTTATTCAAAGGTCAAAATATAGGGCTGTGCGGCATATTTTCAACATTTATATGCCCTGAACTTCTAAGAGTTTAAACTTATACTAAAATTCTATACTACCCTTACCTCCATTTTTGGACCTCCTAAGAAATAAAATTTAGCCGCTACCATGTTTTTCAATACTGGTTACATTCCCAAGTGATGTCTCTATGAGATGAAACACAGAGATCATCAATGGGAACCAGTACGTTAACAAATTAACATACCTATGAATATTAAATATCTCCCCAAAAGAGGCGTGGTTTGAGAAACAGCTGTATTTACAAAGTGCAACCTATACAAACATTTATTCAAATAGAAAACTCTCTAAAAACACTTTTTCTCACAACAATACTTATTTATCAGAATTATAGCCTTAAAGAAATCACTGCATATACTCTAAGTTTC